TAAAAGATAGATAAATTTGAAAATGCTCGGAATTAAATAAAAATAACAATTTTGTTTTTCCTTTGATGTGTACCCCGTCGGAGGGATTCCTTTTGGTTATTTTATACAAAAGTTTAGATAGTTTATTTATCGATTGAGGCACTACGAAGTCTGCCGAGTCAGCCAGTATTCAAATATAATTTAAAAAAGTCCTTTGATAGTCGAGCGGTATTCTCAATGGCAATTTAGAATGCGATACGTTTGAATCTACTTTATATCTAATGCGTTTCGTGTCAAAGAATAACGTAGAATTTACGAAGAGAGAAGTTTAATTACGTTTCTCCCCCAAAGAAATATTCGAAAAACGGTAAGGCTGATTAAAATTACGTTTTATGGCGGTTCCGTATAATGCACGTATTGTTTTTAAAGCCGTTAAAATTCAATGAATACAAATAAACATTTCTACGATATATGTCTGACTTATTAATTTAATTAATTTATAGCTTTGATGTCATTAACTTTAACACCTGAACTTACTCACCTTTCGCCTGGTACTTTTTATTGCCTTCGAAGGCAGGTTATCACACGACCCATACACGCAGTACCGGGAGAACTGGTAATTAAGAAAATTTATAAATTTTACGAGTTTGATTTTTATTAAACGATATTTTCTGGATATTATTCTCAACGCGGAATTCTTTCGTGAACACGTGTTAGGTATGTACGTATTGCCTTCGAAATTTAAGTAAGACTCGCTCATTGTGAGTGAGGCGCTGTTTTCGTTTAGTCCATAACGAATTTCAATAATATACTTTTTTATTTATTTATTTATTTACAGGGCTTATCTACCACCGACCCTATGTTTGCTCTAAATACGATCGCTGAGGAGTATCGTGCGAAACTTCGGCCATTTTATGTTGCATTCTTAGACATGGAAAAGGCATTTGACCGTGTGCCAAGAGATACGATCTGGTGGAGCCTTCGCAAGAAGAATGTACCCGAACATTATGTTAACGTCATAATTGACATGTACAGGGATGCGAGGTCAATGGTACGGACAGTAGTGGGTCAGACAAAACCAATAGCAGTTGCAGAAGGTCTGCATCAAGGTTCAGTACTGAGTCCCTTTCTGTTCGGCATGGTTATAGACTCACTCACTGAGGTGGCGCAGTCCTCAGCCTCGTGGACTTTCATCTATGCAGACGACGTTGCTATCTGCACCGAGAGCCGCACAGAGCTACGAGAGGCACTCCTGTTGTGGAAACAGCAGTTACAAGCCGGTGGCCTAATATTGAGTGTTGCGAAGACACATTACATGTCTTTTAATGACCCAGATCCAGGTGACAACAGTCCGATTTCCATTGACGGTCAACTTGTAAACATGTGCGATCAATACAAGTATCTGGGTACTATGATGCACAGATCTGGAAATTTAAAATGCAACATTCAACACCGAATAGCCGCAGCGTGGCTAAAATGGCGAGAAGTAAGTGGTGTCACCTGCGATAGGAGGATGCCCGTTAAGCTCAAGGGTATGATCTATAAGACTATAATAAGGCCTGTTCTTATGTATGGCAGCGAAACATGGGCGGCAACCAAAAGGAACGTACATACCATTCAAGTTGCTGAAATGAAAATGCTGAGGTGGATGTGCGGCGTGACTAGGCTCGATAAAATCCGCAACGAGTACGTGCGTGGAAGTCTAGGTGTACGGGACATCGCCGACAAGATGCAGGAGAGTAGGCTGAGATGGTATGGTCACGTGAAAAGGAAGCCACCTGACTACGTCGGAAATTTAGCGCTACTGCTCGATGAGTGTGTGTAGAACAGCTAAAATAACAAATACAACATTAGAATTATAGTAATGCACATACACATAGCAAATATTATTAAACTTATTATTAAACAAATATTATTAATTTTACTCTCTAAATTTTGTAAGGAACGTCTGAACTATTTCATTATTTGTCGAGACAAACGTTGAAGTATAAATGAATGTGAAAAGATAGGTGTAAACGAATTAATAACTTTCGTAAACAGTTTAGAGTATCTTAAAAAACCTTTCCTTACAAAATAAAATAGTGCATTATCGAAATTTAAATTAATAATGAGTTTTCATAAAGTGCCCAAGTCCAATTTTATGACTTCAATTGAAATTAAAAGGCTCACGTATCTAAATTATGACAATTAGGATGCTCTGCGTGATCATTATTCATTCAGTGGCGTTGACAGAAGCATACAAAGGTCGCGTACGTTTATGTTGTTAGTCCCTGATTACATTATACATTCATCGGAAGCGAGATTTACGTAAACAGCTTATTATGCGGTTGTGCCGTGGAAATTGCACAGTTTGAAGCAGGAACGGAGTTAGAATCTCTTTGTATTACTCCGAGAACGGAAAAGTTCTGATTGGCTTTTGTGCTGTTGACTCGAGATACTTACAGCGGCTTCAGCGGACAAGACTATGTAGTAAGGAAATATACGCTAACAACATTGTTGTTGAAGTCTCGAAATCAATTTTTTAAAAGACTAGTTATTTTCTTACTCTTTGATGTTTTTGTCAGAAGCAGTTTTGAAAGGACGATTTTGTCTTGTGTATTATCGCTACACAACGTTAACAATGACCGTAGGTATCTGTTTTGTAAGCATTCATCTTATGCAGTTTGATTAATTATTACTGATTGAATACACTGAAAGGGATATTGAACGTCATGTAGATATGCACAAATAAGGCGTTAGGTAGAACAGACATTCAATTGTTTCTTTCAAATAGATTAACAAAATACGGCATTACCATATCTAGGATAGTTTGGTTTTTCACAAGTTTTTTATTTTGAAGGAATTGCAGCTGTAGTTTGAGGGAACTCATGTTGCATTTTCAGAGCAAAGATTCTGTGGCCTTTACGAAATTTTAATTGCTTTTGTTAAAAAACTGATAGGTTTTGTCTCACGCCGCACGTAGTTTCTTCGATGGGCATTTTTAAGAATCAATCTCCCATCATGTGGTGAAATGAAAAGGAAATGGGAAGCAATGCAAGAATGAGCACTGGTAAATGGATTATAGCTCAAAGCGACTAAAAACCCCGCGGCGTTTCGGGAAGGACCTATGTGTACTTACTACTTCTGGATAATGAACTGTCTTCTGCTTGCCTGCCGAGACAATCTGAGCTCTTATCTCGCACAACGGCATCTCAACTTATAGATGCTGAAAGCGCTTCAAAACGCACGCACGCAACCTAAATCCACACCTGTATTAACCCAAATGTGCCTCTGTGATATTCAAAGCTTAATTTACGCCCGCAAGTCGGATGTTAACAGATTTTTACAGCAATCAACATACAAATCTGCTATTGAAAAGTTAATGTTGAAATATTTTGAAATGCTCATATAAATGAGCAATATAAATGATAACAATAATGTCCTGTTGAATAGCAAGGTGGAGGCAAATTAATAATAGCGGGCTGACTTGTCAACTATCAAGTTACTTGCCAAGCTTTTTTTTTTTATTGCTTAGATCGATGGACGAGCTCACAGCCCACCTGGTGTTAAGTGGTTACTGGAGCCCATAGACATCTACAACGTAAATGCGCCACCCATCTTGAGATATAAGTTCTAAGGTCTCAGTATAGTTACAGCGGCTACCTCACCCTTCAAACCGAAACGCATTACTGCTTCACGGCAAAAATAGGCAGGGCGGTGGTACCTACCCGTGTGGACTCACAAGAGGTCCTACCACCAGTATTCTATTCATAGGGTAAAATGCAACATAAACTAATCTAGAATGTTGTCTCTATACTATTTGCCCCTAGTATTGCTAATGACCAATATTGACTTCTGGCCATCAGGTAGGCCCGAAGCCTGTCAGCATTTTTCAATAGTAAAAAGTATTTCTCAAGGGTTCTTGCTGCGTTCATGTTGTACATTTCATAAATAAAACAGCAAAGTTAAATATTTACAGTTAAGTTAAACAGTTTTAACAATTTTGTCGCAAATAACTTGTTTTGTTCTCACCAAGTTTTGTGGCAAACTTTATAGTCATCATCACCAATTTTAACAGCCTGTTATAGTCCACTGTTGAACCTCTTAATACATAAGTATAATATCCATATTTTAATGCGAAAGTAACTTTATCTGTCTGTCTGTCTGTCGCACTTTCACGCCAAAGCAACTGAACCGATCTAAATGAAATTTGGTACACAAATAGTCTAGAGTCTGAGATAGGACATAGGCTACTTTTTAATGTAAAAAAAGGGTTGAAAAAATTGAAAGGGGCGATCAAAAGTTGTATCGTCATTTTTAGAGATAAAAGCTTGTAACATCAGAATAACACATATAATTTATAAAAATATAGTGTGAATTACCCAAAATGTAACGATAAGTTTCAAGTAAGAAGGAAAAAAATCTGCCATCTGCGAGCTATTTTTGCGTACGCCGCAAAAACCGTTGGAGCTACACGTACATATATAATATAAAATGGAAATGTTTATCATATATCTATCTTTTATTTGTAAGCCATTATCGTCAAAATAATGAAACATTAATATAAGAAGAGGAATGATTATATTTTTTGTTTGCTACGTTCTTTTTTTATCGCGTTTGTTACTGTCAGGACCAGATTTGTATAAAAGAATATTCAATAAGATCAATAATAAACTATAGCTCCTACAGTCCCTAGTCTGTTCATAAAACAATATCTCACTTCTATTTATTCTTCATACGAGAACAGAAGAAGCGCATATCTCTGATATTCAAGAACATATTAGCTCCGTATTTAAGGTTTGTACGTACATATTTGTAATTTACAAAACTTTTGTAATGACAAGTAAAAATCTTCGGTCGTTTTGACTGTTTAACATTGACCTTTGTTAACTTAACTTAGTGATATGCTTATAATCAACTTAAGCTCAGTTTCCTTTGAATTTTCATCACTCTGGTACATAAATTACATTTACATACAGCTCGACTTATTCCAGCCGTAGCAGTTAGTAGCACGTAGGGTCAGACAGTTGCATTATCCGCGAGCTACGAAGCACACGCCTTCACTGGCTGGCTACACAGTCAAAAGAATTGTTACGATCGACAATTATCATCATGAATATTGTAAAAAAATGATTGTATATCTGTATATTGATAATGTTAATTTCGTATTTTTTAATGTGACTCTCAGTGTTGTGTAAAATGATACGAATATTAAATGTTTTCTGTTTATTTCTCATAGGAGCTAAAGGTAATCTTTAAATGATCTTGACATAAGGTTTATAATTGAATATGCAATTTCGAAAAGGGCACATGTTGCATATTTTGTAAAATACGTTTTTTCATATACAAATAGTTTTGAGGCTTACCTACACCCATTTTATAATAATTCCAGTAATTTTCAATTGCTAATTAACATCAAAATATATCTCAAAAGTTAATATTTTAAATTTTACACTGCTTTAGAAAATAATCAGTTTTTTTTTCACTTCCTGAACATTTTACATTTTCAGAGATGTGCCCTTGTCGAAATTGCATATTCAATTGAAATTCGCAAAATTTTTATGTTCAAACAGTAAACAAATTATTTCATTTGAGACACAGTTTCACAGATTTTCGTTACTTGTAGGGATGTATCGCTAATTGTACCGGTAATTGTATAACGTCATATATTAATACAATTGAATATTTTTTTTGTATTGCTTAGATGGGTAGACGAGCTCACAGCCCACCTAGTTCTAACTACTACTACTGTTACTGGAGCCCATAGACATCCACAACGTAAATGCGCCACCCATCTTGAGATACAAGTTCTAAGGTCTCAAGTATAGTTACAACGGCTGCCCCACCCTTCAAACCGAAACGCATTAGTGCTTCAGGGCAGAAATAGGCAGGGCGGTGGTACCTACCCGCGCGGACTCACAAGAGGTCCTACCACCAGTCTTATCGTCTTATACTCTTATCCAGAAGACGAAAACGCAAGTCCAACATACAGCCGGAAACTCAAAATAATATTAATTCATTCTGTGGAAAGAAAAATCTAGATATTTTTTTTTTGAATAATAGAAAATAAAAGAGTTTCAATTAGTATTAAGTGATTACCGAAGCTTAGAAAAACTAAAAAAGAATTGCCATTGGTTCCCTGTAACCATAAAGTCGAAGTCTCATGTAATACAATCCTTCACCAGCCCCGACCACCCTCTTCAGCCAACCTATATCCTGGGCCAGGAAGGTCAAGTACCTGAGAGTCCCCCAAGCATGCATCATCTGTAATCGGCGTAAAATGTCCTTTCGGAACAAGGTGACACTTTACTAAACTTGCATACGTTCCGTTAAGACATGCGCCAGTATGATGTTCGCTCGCGGGACCCGCATGCACATAGACACCCTCCAATCCCTATAATCCCGTTTTTGCAGGTTAGTCGTTAGAGCTCCGTGGTTCGTAATAAGCGATCAAATGATCCAAAAGCACATGAAGTTAGCATCGAAACTTCGATGAGGCTATGCGTCACGATAATCGCCTTATCGTTGCCGCCGCTGACTACTCCCCGGGTCCTGTTCACACAGGAGCCATTCAACGTCGACGCCCTAGACACGTTCTTACGGATCCATCAAATCCAATAACCCTTGCATTAGACGCCTTCAGCTCTACAACTAGGAGCAGGCTGGGAGGGACCCCAGTAACCATTACTCGTACGTACGTGCAACCTAACCCATGCATCAGCTCGCTGAGTTTCTAATCGGATCTTCTCAGCGGGTCGCGATTCCGATCCGGAAGCAGATACATTCGCGAAGCAGCTGCTCTTGAGCTTGAGTTAGGTCTCCTTCGGAGGCGCTCGGGCAGCTGTTAGCAAATCCCTCCTCTCCTGGCTGAGCCTTTGCTCGTCCATCGGACTTGGTAAAACTGTAAAAGGCCTCCGGGCCACCAGTAATACCTTAGTCACAAAAAAACAATCCTTCAAACTAGAACACTTTATAACAAAAACTAGCTTTTGCCCGCGACTTCAGCCGCGTGGAATAGTTACTTTGGCATAACGCTAAATTTTACCCGCCTCTTCATTTACGTAGAAAATGAAAATATTTTTGAATAATAGAATGTTAAGGAGCTATTTAAGGTACCAAAATCACGCTTTTTAACCGAATTCAAAAGTTATCAATTCGACCACAATTTTTTTATCTATGTATGTTCGCCGATTTCTCGAGAATGCTTGGACCGATTCTGATAATCCCTTTTTCTTTTTGTTCGAAAGGGTAGACTTCCCAAATGGTCTTGTAATCATCAAGATCGGATGATGGGATCCTGTAGAAATCCAAAAAAATTTATAAATTTCAAAATCTATCTTGAAGTGATTTGGGTGTTTCTTATTATTCTTCTTATTCTGTGCCGCCGCGCGTCTTGTACATCAATATTACGCGCTTGATCATTATTTTGCTGCAATGTTATTTTAAAACTGCGATATCTTTTCATACTCATTAAAATACTCATAGCGAGACACTCATTAAAATCAAGCGAGGGGAAATTTCTTTAAAATTATATACTTGTAATGAATAACGTATTTATTTGGATAGGGATAAATATCATCTTCATACAAACACCTTCACCAATAATTCTTTATTTTAGAACAAATTTTGGTAAGCATAGTTAAGTTTACTGGTGGTAGGACCTCTTGTGAGTCCGCGCGGGTGGGTACCACCACCCTGCCTATTTCTGCCGTGAAGCAGCAATGCGTTTCGGTTTGAAGGGTGGGGCAGCCGTTGTAACTATACTTGAGACCTTAGAACTTGTATCTCAAGGTGGGTGGCGCATTTACGTTGTGGATGTCTATGGGCTCCAGTAACCACTTAACACCAGGTACTTACTTTTTTTAGAACCTTTAAAGGGGAACAATTTTGGCATACATTATTTTAGCAAAACTTTCCGTTTTCGCAGCGCACGCAGCGGAAGCTCTCAAAAGGGAAAAAAACCACGATTTTGAAACATTCTTCATTAGTGCTCCGCTTGTATTGGTCTTAGCGTGATGTTATATAAGCCTTCCTCAATAAATGAGCTATCTGACACTGAATTTTTCAAATCGGACCAGTAGTTCCTGAGATTAGTGCGTTCAAACAAAGAAACACTTCAGCTTTATAATATTATAAAAAAATAAAAAATATAAGTGTACATAAGCTGTAGAAACTTTTTAAAAGATCCGATGTGGTTTTTTTTAACCTACGTTACGGCGTTTGATTATCAAGAAATAAATAAATAAATAACAATAGTAAAACATTTCTTCTCAGTCGCATGCACTCTTGGCAGAGTCGTGGTCATCATTTCAGGTGGTGGTGCGCTTCACCAGACGTCGCCATTCCTCGCAATCACCATGACGTTTAAGTATCAACAGCTCACTCAACGTAAAGCTTTGTTAAGTAATTTTGTGTTTCCAGTATCCAGCTGCCTACGGGTTGTAGGTATTTCTGTGCCGCCGCTGAAGCAACGTGGTGATTCTGCGACCCTAACCTGCGAATACGATTTGGAGGGCGGGAAACTATACTCAGTGAAATGGTATAGAGATAATGAAGAGTTCTACCGATACATGCCGAGGCTTAGACCTCCGCAACACGCACATCAATTGGATGGCGTCAAAGTTGATGTGAGTTAGATATGTTTTGGAAATTCATATCGGAAATCTTATTATTTATTCCATTAATAAGGACATCACTCAGAATTTTTATGCGCCAGGCCTATATGATCTCACTCCGAATGCGTGGGGTGATGATACGACGTCTCGTCAAACTTCCAGTCAAGATAAGACAGAGCTCGGAAAGGCAGGGGTAGGATTGAAAAAACCAAAATAACCCATCACAGGGCATCGGACCAAACCTTTCGGTCGCAAGATATTAGATACTAAAAACATGGTCGGAATACCCTGCTGGGTTAAAACCAGTGTAGAGTCGGAGGAAATATAACCTTTGGTCTTTTTAACAGTCTACGCTAGCTCCAAAAAATACGCTACGGGGACAAAAACCCTGTGAAATAATTCACCCTAGTAGCAGAACATCGCATTTTTACTGTCTTTGAAGATAAACGAGAATATTGCTCACTTAATGAGTGGTCACCAACTATGGAGAACTGCTATAATACCCTGTTTGAAGTTTTCAAGAAGGATATATCATCAGGCTCAAGTTAGACTGTAGAGGAGCGCTCATACGTAATAGTAGTACCTAATAGCAGCGAAGTAACTAATCACAAGTGGGCCGTGAGCTCGTTAAGCCATAAGCATTAAATTAAAGTATTGTACAATAGTCATAACTCACTATATACATTACATACCCACATTTTAGCTTGAAAAGTCAACAGCTCGTCGAGTCCATCTCAGAGAATTGACGTTGAAGTCCCGAGGGCTGTATCGATGTGAAGTATCAGAGGAAGCACCGTCATTCCACTCGGCGCAGGCAGAGAATTTTATGGAAATTTATTGTGAGTGCTAATTAAGTCCCAAAGCGTCTACATATTTATGAATCCAAAATTCCGAAAACTTGTTTCATGGTCTCGGCTTTGGATTTTATTCGTATTATCAAAATACGATTTGCTTTGGTTACACCGAAGTAATTAATGTAGGTACATTATGTGGATGGATGGATTTCTATGCAACCTTTGTATAAACCAATAGGAAAAGTATCTCGCGTGCAGTGCATCTCAAGAAATCTTTCGAATAAATCCTGGGGGATCTAGACAATACTACATTGAAAAAAGTGGATATTTCTACACTAATGTGTTGGCTGATCATCAGTCGTATCTGAATAGTTTTTTTTCATGTATGCTCGTTGTGGGTTGTGCCATTCATTATTTATTTTCGACGTACATACAAACCTATAATAATTTTCCACCAGGTAACCCGTCTGTATTTTTCTTACTTGTTTCCTACCTGCCAGTAGCTTCGATAGGTTGTTCTAGCTTCACCATGACTGGTTGGGGGAGTTCACTGCGCTCTGCCTGAGAGAACTTGCTAACATCTGCCCTAGCAAGAGGCATGGATCGGAATTGCGACGCGCTGAGAAGATCCAGCCAGAAATTCTGTAGGTGACATTCAGATTCCGAAAATAAAAAAAATTACCTGCATCTAGTCGCGAATAGGCCTATTGTTAATTTTCTGAAGAGTTTTTTTTTCTAATAATCCCCTATTTTTAACATAATGTGACTTATTATTCTTCTTACCATTGCTTTATTTCAGATTTTCCGAGGGAGAGTCCTCGGATCACGGGACTCGAAGGACCATATAACATCAAGGATATGCTAGACGTTAACTGTTCATCAGCTCGATCGTTCCCAGCTCCGGAATTGCAATGGCTAATTAACGGTCAAAAGGTAAATAACAACAAGCTTTTGAAAGCGTACCTAATTGATTTTATTGCCCTTAATTTTTATCATTGCTTTAAACATGGACAAAGACAGACGACCAGAAAGGCCATTTGATAATGATTAGCTGCCTGACCCCGTAGACATCATGGGCGTGTCCACGAAACACTTTTACACTCAAGGATCGAAATTAGTTGTATTAGCTACAACTGTTCCATACTTCAAACCCAAACGAATTACTGGTTCGTGACAAAATAGATAGGAATTGTGAGAAAGCTTCTCGTGCATTCCAAAAAAAAAAAAAAAAAATTAACACACTCTGGAACCGATCTACGTCAAAATTTAAAATTTATAAAAGTACCGTACTGTACTAGCCATAATCGCCCGCTTCGCTGGGCATTAAAAATAACATTATTATATATTGTCATTATTATTGTGGAGTCCAACACTCATATAAATATTAGCCTATCCATTAAGTACATGTACTTTCTACATGGATACCAAGTTTCTAGTCAATCGGATGCATGGTTTTTTTTTTATTATTTTTTTTATTGCTTAGATGTGTGGACGAGCTCACAGCCCACCTGGTGTTAAGTGGTTACTGGAGCCCATAGACATCTACAACGTAAATGCGCCACCCACCTTGAGATATAAGTTGTAAGGTCTCAGTATAGTTACAACGGCTGCCCCACCCTTCAAACCGAAACGCATTACTGCTTCACGGCAGAAATAGACAGGGCGGTGGTACCTACCCGCGCGGACTCACAACAGGTCCTACCACCAGTAAATGGTTCAGTAGTTATAACAGAACATCCGTAAAAACCGATATAGATGGAAGGTAATCTATTTCATATTTTTTCTGTACAGATTACGGACAGATCTTCGTTAATAGCATATGGCGCGAAGCCCGCCCCACAAGGTCTTCTAGTATCTACCCTTGGTCTCCGGACGCCAGTTCAATCACGAATGAAAATCAAATGTATCGCAACAATCGATACGCATAGACGAGAGCGTACCGTTGTTATTGGTAACTATTATAAAGTGATAATAAAAAAAAGGGTGCGTGTACTTATGTACGCGCGTAAGAAGTTATACTTTATTTTTTCTAACTTTTTTTTTTTTATTAAAATTTTAATCAATTTTAAAAAAAAGCGATTAAACAACATCCTCAAACACCCATATTGGACATCCCTTTTCTTGACATCGTATAAATTCAGTAACTCTCGATACGGTTCGGAAAGTTCACCTGCGGCTATATTCAGACTCGCCAAGTTACGTCAACTTCATTCTGTTAATTTTGTGTCACGGTGCGCGTGCATCGTAAAATTTCACTCATTAATTGTTCATAACGCGCCTAAAGAAGTATAACTTCAAAAAAAGTACTCAAAAACATGTTCGAGTTTGATCAGTCTCCTACCAGTGTCCCTGTGGTAGAATGATGCTTGACGGATATTTCAAGAGTCAACAAAAATTTACAGCGGTCTCAAATATTCTTACTGCAATAGCAATTGGGCTAGTTGATCTCACTACATATATAATTATTATTCTTATTTTATTGCCCTGGTATGCAGATGAGCGTACGGCCCACCTGATGGTGTGTGGTTACCGTCACCCATGGACTTCAGCAATTCCAGGGGCAGAGCCGAGCCGCTGCCTACCGTTAAGTACTCTCCACAAGCCTTGTCTGAAGAAGGACATGTCATGAGAAAACATCGTGGACCGTCACTATCTATATACTGTTACTTAGTTACCGGAATCAGACATTAAAAAGTGAAGCCGCTAATCTTAAGACATGGGGTGGACATACATAAAGACTCATTACAATTTTTGTTTTTCTTATCAAGTTTTTTATTTATTTATTATAAAAGAATATTCTCGTTACAAGAACACCACGAAAAAAGCATAAGTACCGAATTAACCCTCGGCTCTTAATATATTTTAGTCCGCACGAGTACCTACGAGCATGGGTACCTACCATCCCGTTTCTGCCGTGAAGCACTGATGCGTTTTGACGTATAGAGTACCGCAGTTGTTGTACTGTAAAAACGGAAACTTAGAACTTATATCTCACGATGATGGCGGCATTTACTTTGTTGATGTCCATGGGCTCCAGTAAGCACTTAACACCAGGTGGAGCGTGAGCTCGGTCATCCAAGCATAAAAAAACGGAATCCTTTTTAAATACCTGTTAAAAATAAAAAAATACAAATTGCCAGGGTAGAGGTATAAAACAAATCAAAACAAGTTTAAATTTCTATGTAAATTATGAAGAAAGTTATAAAATAAATAATTTCACTTTTATTTTCATTCAGGTTATGATTTACTTGATGGGTACATTGTATCGGAAGATTAACAGATTAATAAATCAACTGTTGTTAGTGAAATCTCACATTTGATAATAGTTATCAAATATTTTATTTTAGTGTTTTATGCAGAGCGCTCACTTTGGATTGTCAACATAAATATATAGCTGTCAAAGAGAGTCATCCAAATAATTTTATTAGCTACCAACATTAAGCGGTGGTCAGGTTACTATTATGAATTTTAATCTAAAAAATTCCATTTCAGAAATAAATTGCGGGACCCAGCACAAACTTTGCAATCTGTCAACATTACTACTTGTTCAAACTTTTTATTCAATTAGTACAAAATATTTGTGATACTCTATTATTGTAAATAAACACGTTTCATAAGAATTGTTGTTTCATTATTACTTTCAATTACCAGACCCTAAACGTCACGAGAATACCACTGCCCTCAGCTATAGACAAATTCTAAATTAAACATGATCACAGGCTTTTCCTACTCTTTTAATCCGAGTACGTGGGTTTAGAACACGCATTTTTGCTAAATACTCAATTTAAGTTCCTTTACACTTATACCTCAGAGTAAAGTTGAAAATGGTATAAATATAGTGTAATTTTGAAAAACCCTTGGCCCCTAGATGGCAGTACCGTGGACGTTATTTCGTATTGTTAAAAGTGCAGTTGAAAACTTATTTATCATAAATTTTCCATCGCGTTTTTTCGTGTGAGCGTGAAAAATAATGTTGTTACCTAACCTTAATTAAGTTGATATTTTTTATACGCTTGGGGTACCTAAAAGCACCGTTAATGGATCGCGAAGATCCGAAATGACGTGTTTAGGGAGACGTCGACTGTTTACCATTCAGTCCGCAGGATCGGGTATGTAATTTCCGGCGGCAACGACAAGGTTTTCCTGTCGTGCCTCCGCCTTCTCAAAGTGGCGTACTGACGCCGACTGGATATACTTATTGATGGAGTCAAGCTCCAGGTCATCATGGAGATCCACGTTCCTCATGAACCACGGTGCTCCGACGGGTATCATGTAAAAACGGGATTAAATGACTTGAAGGGGTTTCAAATTAGTGCGGGCCGCGTGAGCGAACACTACACTTGCATAGGTCATGACCGGGCGCATGCAAGTTTTGTAGTGTCACCTTATTACGAAGGGATAATTTACTTCGCTAGCAAATGATCGGATAGAGGCAATCATTCGTGAACACCTTTCCTTTAGAAAAATAGGCACACGTTTGCAGCACTCTTAACACCACGGTGCGATCCACTAACGGTGCTTTTAGGTACCTCAAGCACCGGTCACCGTTCTCGTCGAACCTGTCGCTTGTGAAGGGTTCGATGAGAATTAACCCACAGACAGACAAAGCCCACTGTTACATTTAAGCAGACTGCTCATTAGCGAACATAAATATTTTAAAATAAAAACCTAAATAAGACCTTGTCTATTGTTGTTTATTTTAAAATTTACTTACATTTTTTATACATTTTAGGTTACAACAAAATTATACGGGATAGTAAATTATTCCACTGAAATAAGATAAACATCCCTGGATATATTATAAAAATATAACATACGAAAATTAGTACTGAGTAAATAATTTATTGTAATTATGTGTACATGGCAGCAGGGCTTCTAAACACAATCATTCTTGATAAAAGAAAACAATTTAATTTTTTATTTACAATATTCGTGAGCATTTCTTGAACTTCGCAAATTTGATAACCCTGTCATGTCACAAAAATAAAATCCACAAAGATCAAACTTCAAAAATTCGTTCTATATTGTGTAGTAGGCATTACTTTAGCAACAAAAAGTTAGCGGACGAAGCTAGAGATTACAGGTCTTCATTACATACTTACAAATATATAAATACCTACAATTCAATATTGACAAGCAACTCACGATTATATGAAGTTTTTTAAACTTTTACATTTACAACATTGATAATGCCAAAATTTTATTTTACTATTTTCAGAAAGAGTATGTGCTTTTAGTGTTAGTAATAATCAATATTAAAAATAAAAAACCAGTATTTATAGCAATACTTACAAATAATAATAAAATCGTGGAATTTCAATTGTTTCTTTCTTTCGTTTTTTTTTTTTGACAATGACAAAACGGAAGCAATCAAAATATTAGGCACTGTGCTTTCAACTTCTTAACATATTCATATTTTGTGTAATTATAATTATTTAGACGTAATTTGTCATTAAAACAAATTTAAGCTTATCCTTCCTGACCAAAGTCTTCCATGAATTTCCTCAATTTTACCATATCATCATCATTTACAGTAGGCTTCGAAACAGCTAAAGATCTCAACATGTCTGACATTGTAACTGGCGGCTCGCCAAGTTTGTCACTAGGCACATCGATCCAGGTCATTTCTATAGCTCCTGGGTCACCAGGCGAACATGGCGTCAGAAGGTCATTGACAATAACATTAGGATCAGTTGGGCTCGGACCAGATATTTTTTTAAAGTGTGTGGCAGATTGTACTTTACGTACAGGTTGCATTAGTGCATCACGGACAACAATGCTGATATCCGCACCGGAATATCCCTCACTTTTAGCCGCTAATAATTTCATATCTTGTTCAGACAGTTGATGTCTTGTGTTGCCTAAATGCAACTTAAACATATCAAGACGGGCATGTTCTTCTGGCAGAGCAATGTAAATACGCTTCTCAAAACGCCTTCGAATAGCAGAATCAAGGACCCATGGTATATTTGTGGCACCAAGAACTAAAATGCCATCCATATCATTACCAACACCTTGCATTTGAACAAGGAATTCTGTCTTGATCCTACGAGCCGATTCAGATTCGTTGTCTGAACGGGAAGAGCAAAGTGAATCTATTTCATCAATAAAGATGATGCTCGGTTTATGTTGTCGAGCAAGGTCAAATAAGTTCTTTACCAACTTCTCCGACTCACCCAGCCATTTAGAAACCAGATCAGATGATGAAACAGAGAAGAATGTTGAATTGTTTGCTTCAGTAGCCACAGCCTTTGCCAAGTATGACTTACCAGTACCAGGGGGTCCAAATAATAAGATGCCCTTCCATGGTATTCTCTTGCCAGTAAACAAATGTGGAAATTTTATTGGTAGAATTACAGCCTCTTTCAATGCTTCCTTAGCGGCTTCTAGACCAGCTACATCACTCCACTTCACATGAGGTTTCTCTACCACAATAGCTCCTTCAAGTTTCCCTTGTAGTTTTTTCTTTTCTGGATCATCAGAATCACTGTCACTATCACTCTTCTTATCATCACTTTTGGATTCCCCATCCTTTACTGGTTTTTTCTTTTGATCTTTTTTGAGATATTCCTTTAATTTTTCAGCTCTATCAAGATATTGAAGGCATTTTGCACGAATGCTTTCTTTTGCCCTTTCACCTTGGGCCTCATATTTTACTGCATGAAGAAAATACTCTACACCGTGCTCATATAAACGTAATGCTTCTTCATAGTTCTTGTTCTTGTCCTCTTCAGTAGCCTTAGTGACAAGATCAATAGCTTTTTGTAAGGTATTTGATGATGTCATTGTTTTTTAAATTCACCTAGAAAAATAAACTATTTTAAAATTACACAATTTTGGTTTTTTTTTTTTTGTTAATATGGACCGACCAAAAATCTAGAGACTTTTCTTTGCATTTAATATTCCTTTTAAGAAAAAACATCCACTCAGACAAATAATGACAACTAATAATATCAAAAAATAATATCCCCACTCAGACCTTTGGTTTAAGTTGTCAATATATATGTAGGTCAGGAGTCTTTGAAACTGGAACTTACAATAACTTTAAGAAACACTAATCTGATGTCGCAAGAGTACATGAGCTCAGGGAACCACTAAGACGGGATGCAAGTTTATTCCCATTTAAGTAACAAACATTTTTTATATAGATAAACATTGAAATCTACAAATATATAAAATTTTAAGGTTAGTCTGTTCTGTACAGATATTGGAATTTCTGTTCTTCACGGTTCTCCCTGTGTATAACAATATAAACACTTTAAATTACAACCAAATATATTTATTTAAAAACAAATATTATTAACTTGCACAACGGTAATGAACTAAAATTATAGAAAATTGTTGCATTTCTTGAATGGAATTAAATAGATGCAACCCTTTATTTTCCATTAAATTTTTTTATATTTTATAATTATAAGATCATTTTAGTTATTTATAAGGTCAATAACCTGGAGTTCAGAAGCAATCTGGGTTTGTGTGTAACATACATTTATTTATTTATTTGCAATTCTATATGGTTGTCGTTTACACTTCAGGGAAGGTTCTGGAATAGCACCAATAACATATAGATAATTTAAGTTGTTTTAACAGACCAATGTGTATTTATCTTGTAGTAAATACAGTAAGGGTAAATGGGATTTACTAGTAAGCTATTGTGGAGTCCTCAATACAGTAAATGTTTTGGATTAAAATAGAATCGAGTTTATTTTACTAGTTTACTAGTCTGTTATTAATGTTTCTGAGTATCATACCACAGAATTATACTATACTATGCTATGCATTGAATCATACGAAAATTGGTACTTACTGTAAAAGTGTTGAAATCTTTAGATACCAAAAAGCGTTATACTTCGATGTAGCTAATTTTACATTATTTATTTTTGGCTAAACCAATTTTGTTGTTTTTTATATGAATGGTGACTAATTTGATGGCTATTAATCGTGATATCATGACCATAGAAACTACTCTGCTTGATATGTTTTTCCTGTCCCATTATGGAGTGCAAAAGGCATTACTTACCACAATTATGGTGCAAAAAATTGCTCAGCTGTATCTTTGACGCAATTATTCGCTGCTATTATTATAAGAAAACAAGGCAAATATGAATTTATGTACCTACTAATTCAATAAAATTCAATAAAATTCGTTGTCTGTCACGTACAAGAATGTCAAATTTAGATACAAATACAGCACATTATAATTTATCTGTGGTCCAAGCACAGACCTCTATAACTATAATGATTAACTGACAAGATCCAGCGAGAAAGTTTGTAGCCAGCTGTCTGTGGGTTAATTCGCTAGTCGAACCCTTCGTCGTAGTCGACGAGTTCGACGAGGACGGCGACCTGTGCTTGAAGAGCTTATAAGCACCGAGAGTGAGTCCGAGGGATCTGACATTATATGTTTCAGACGACGGCGGCTTTGCGTTGCCCCGTCTCCTGGGTCGGATATGTAATTAATAGCGGCCACGTTAAGAGGGTTATCGTGATGCTCTGCTTTGTCGAAGTAACGTTCTGCGCTATCTTAAGGTACTTACGTAGGTTCTCAATTTTGATCGTCGTGAAGGTCGACATTCCTCACATACCACAGTGCCCCGACAGCTATCCTGCCGAAACGGGATTGGATGACCTGGAAAGAGTTTATGTGCATGCGAGCCGCGTGACCGAATACTGCACTTGCTTAATTCATGTCGGAGCATATGCAAGTTTTGTAGTGTCACCTTGTTATGAAGGGATAATTTACTTCGCTTGCTGATCGTGGGGTAGACACTAAACAAAGAACTAAGTCTATATTTTATTTCTCTATCTTAATCTAATAACTTTCAGCGCCTTTTTTTAAATGTATCCGGTTGCTACAGTAGCGCCACCCTTATTTAGCAGATTTTAACGGACACTTTTGCACACACATAGATGGTTCTTCTTATCTCTACCCTCCATAAATAATTATATACCTACGAATTAATAATCTGTGATAATTACTCTTAAGCTAGAATGGGACCTTTTGGCGGGAACGCGAGGAGTGAAGTTGTGTGATTTGTTTTAATTTGTCTATTTAGTGTTTCTTCAGTTTAAATGTCTAATAACGGTCGTTTATTAACTGTTTAATATCTGTGAAAGTGCACAAACGTGGGAAAATGAAATAAAGCCGCTGGACATAACTTCTCGGATCCTCCAAAAAGTCTACTGAAAAAATCACCATTTTACTGAGATTATATCTCATCCCATATCATCTCATTTCATTCCAGTTGATTAATGTCTCAAATTAATCACATTCATTTCATTTAACTCCATATTATCATTTTTCATAAAAATCAGAATATAAATTATAAGACATGACTTGATCTTAGTTACCAGGTCATAATATCCCTTAAAAAATTAAGCTAAAATACGTTACATTTTAGCTTTTAGCTATCTTTATTTCGTAACAATGTGCTTCCCAGACACGGATTCTGAACAAGAATCTAGTTATATTCACGATTCACCTGTACTGTTGTTTATGTTTTACAGTGTACTAAATAAATTAAACGAGTACATAATCTCTGTACTTTTTTAAAACTAGCTTTGGAATAAGTACTTATATTTGTTGAAGAATATTTACATTTTCGATATTTGTTAATTTTAAATAGTTCAATCGAATAGTTTTAAATAGTTATATAATTTTCAAATAGCAATTCCCATGAAAATTAGCACGCAAGCGATCCACTCGAGTGATCGCCAATCATTTTTTGTTATAGTAAAGTCAAATGGAAGAAACTGATATGTAGAAGCTCCTGCCTAAAGGTAAGAGCTTCTTACCGCTGAGAACTCGAGACGGGAGGCCTGACTTTTATTTTATTTTTCCTACCTATGCTGATAGCCTTGAGAGGCTATGTCAGCGTAACCGGGCGAGTAGGTGAGCTCACGTGGCTCAAACCGGGAGTATTGCTAACACTGGCCCTAGCAAGAGCAGGGCTTCGCAGAATCTACCACCGGATCGGAAACGCGTTCCACGGATAAGATTCGGCGAGAAAATCAGTGGGCCGTGTCTATGGGTTAACTTACACATCGAGCCCTTCGTCGCAAGCGACGGGTTCGACGAGGACGGTAACCATTACTTGAAGTACTTACCTAAAAGTATCATTAAGGGATCGGGAGGATCCGTAATGACGTGTACCTTTGTTAGAGATTACAGTAAAATATTGGGGGCAGTTTCTTGTCTCATCAGATTCCAAATGCGATGGCCTAAAAAAATCTCTCGCTGTCTTACATAATAATATTAACGCCGTGAAACACTCTTGCGTTCTAATTTGAATATTATATTGAAATAATAAAGGTAGTTAAGTACCGAAAACGGTAATTCCCATATGTACCTAAGAATTAAATATAGATAGATATATCATTTTTGTTGATAAAATACCTATTCGTTGTTTATTACCTATTAATAGTTTTTTTTTAATCCTTAGATCGTTGGACGAGCTCACGGTCCACCAGGTGTTGAGTGACTACCAGAGCCCATGGACATCAATAACGTACCTAAATGTTTGTTGTATAACGATAATTTAAAATATTGAAGAAATGGTTGAGATCACTTTATTATTCCGCTAGATAAAACCTATGGCTGTACGCTGTATATTATTCATGGTACATAATATTTAAGGTTAAATAAATGAAATCTTTGTTTTATTGAGTAAAATAATATATATTTTAATGTTTTTTTAATATTAATTTACACCAAAACCATAATTAGACAGTTTCACTGTTTAAAACCCATCAAATACCAATTATGAAATACAATTTTTGTGTTAATACACCCCTCACAAACCCTACTTTGTGACGACTTCAAATTCCATTTTATGCTTCATTAAATTTTCGACAAGGTTCGTGTTCTGAAATGCAGCTGCGGGCATAAGTACTCCGCCTCTGGAAAAAAACATGCAGAATATTCATTTTTAGTTATAATAAGTATTGTTTCATTCTCGGATAAATGTAACACAAAATGCAAAAGAGCTTTCTACTTCTATTTGCTACAAAATTCTAGAATGTTCTCTTATTTTAGGCAAATATTATCTCCTACAACACTAATAACTAGAACCAGATAGTATAAAAAGACAGACAAAACAAAAACGATTATTTTAGTTCTCTAATAATAATTAGCTAACTGTTTGAACTGAAAGTGCATTAAAATCGAAATAGGGACATAGTAACTTCAAATTATATAGAAGGCAAATAGTCTTTCGGTCATTGGGCGAAAATAAGGGATTTTAAATACATCCTAACTCTTTGAACACTTTGAGACCTGCTTTACTTACTTCGGCATTTTATCACTCTCTCTTAGGATCGTCATGGCAGAAATAATCAAACACATAGCCGTAGTATAATAGCCGGGATCCGTTCCTGAAACCTAAAGCACATTAGCAAATTAGACACAAAAATCATCTCAACGTAGAAAGAAATTTACATCATCGATAGTAATAAATATATGTTCATACTTTTTATGTAGCGCTTGATTAAAGTCGAACATCCACTATATAAGATCGTTTGGAACTCAAAGTTTGGTCTGCGGGGTTACATTATTAATTATCTGTCGACCTTAAAAAGTACAAGATAACTCAATTTTTTATGGAGTTGGAACAGCGCCCCTGGCGGGAAACCTTGGCTAATGTTCCAACTCCATACAAAATTAAGTTAACTTTTACGCTATTGAGAACGTTAAAAAACTCGCACTAAGCACACTTTTTTTTTTCCTACCTATGCTGATAGCCTTGAGAGGCTATTTCAGCTTCGCCCTAACGTTTGTAGGTGAGCTCGCGGGGCTCAACCGGAGAGTTGCTAACACTGACCCTAGCAAGAGCAGTGCTTCGCAGAATCTACCATCGGATCGGAAACGCGACCCACTGAGAAGATCCGGCGAGAAACTCAGTGGGCTGTGTCTATGGGTTAGTTCGCTCGTCGAGCCCTTCGTCGCAAGCGACGGGTTCGACGAGGACGGTGACCGGTGCTTGTGGTGCCTAAAAGCACCGTTAATGGATCAGGAGGATCCGTAATGACGTGCTTTGGGCGACGTTGACGGTTTACCATTCGGTCTACTGGGTCGGGTATGTAATTTCCAGCGGCTACGATGAGAGGGTTCTCATGTCGTGCCGCCTTCTCAAAGTGGCGCAGTGATGCCGACTGTAGATACTTACTAAATGAGTCGAACTCCAGGTCATCGTGGAGATCCACGTTCCTAAGGAACCATGGCGCTCCGACGGCTATCCTGCAGAATCTGGATTGAATAACCTGAAGGGATTTCAAGTGGGTGCGGGCTACGTGAGCAAACACTACGCTTGCATACGTCATGACGGGGCGTATACAAGTTTTGTAGAGAGTTACCTTATTGCGGAGGGACAGTTTGCTTCGACTACAAAGCATTGGGTAGAGTCGTCCTAGTATAAACGCGGCGCGGTCGCGTACCGTTTTTATATGGGGACGGAATGTCATCCCTCTGTCGAGGGTGACGCCTAGATATTTGACCTTCGAGGCCCACGGTATGGGCTGGCCAAAGAGAGTTATGGGGCTAACAGCGGAGATGTTTGCGCGCCTACTACGGAGTGGGATGCTCGAAGTGGTGAAGCACACTGTTCTTCAAAGAGGAACGTATGACCGCTTCACATCATAAAAATGACGGTGTTACCTAACCGTGTGGACTTATAATACGCCGTACCGCGGGATTGGAACATCGGTATTGTCGCTTCAGTTGATACGATACTATGGTTGATACTACAGGGCATAATATATTTTTATATATGCCCTGAAGTACTTATACTTAAAGTTTATATATTTTATTTTCCAAAATTAAAATACCTAATTTATTGCAGAAACTTTATTAGATGTATATGTACATATACAGATATATGTATATACATATTACCTATATTCCAAAAACATAAATAAATATTTGTTTTGGATTTCTAACAATTATAAAGGACAATGCCCATTTTCTATGGGCGTTTGGGCCCCTAAAAAAAGTTGTCCTGTCATGATGGTTTTAACTTAATTTGATAGAATTAATTTGATTGAAGTCGTCGTGGCCTAAAAGATAAGACGTCCGGTGCAATAGTGTTGAAGCGATGCACCGGTGTTCGAATCCCGCAGGCGGGTACCAATTTTTCTAATGAAATACGTACTCAACAAATGTTCACGATTGACTTCCACGGTGAAGGAATAACATCGTGTAATAAAAGTGAAACCCGCAAAATTATAATTTGCGTAATTACTGGTGGTAGGACCTGTTGTGAGTCCGCGCGGGTAGGTACCACCGCCCTGCCTATTTCTGCCGTGAAGCAGTAATGCGTTTCCGTTTGAAGGGTGGGGCAGCCGTTGTAACTATACTGAGACCTTACAACTTATATCTCAAGGTGGGTGGCACATTTACGTTGTAGATGTCTATGGGCTCCAGTAACCACTTAACATCAGGTGGGCTGTGAGCTCGTCCACCCATCTAAGCAATAAAAAAAAAAAAAACAAAGAAATTTCGTTTCATATTCAGAAAACGATTTTTATATTCTCGCCCAGGCTTAAGAGAAATCTGTTTTTTCTGCAGCTAAAATTAAGTTGTTAATTGTTTTCTTCGAAATCAATAATCGCTCTCATAATTATTTAGAGTATTAAATAAGTTAATTGTGGTTAATGTTGCTAGAAATAAGCCCTTACGTACATTTTATTATTATTATATCCTCATAATAATAATAAAATGAAATGAAAATCCGGAAGCCGGCAACGATATTGTTGTTGTTTTTAAATTCACCAATAAGCAGGCAAAGAGCGTAGCCTATATATACAGCCTAGTCTGTCGAAGTCATATATTTTTTATGTCAATAAAAAGCCGGTGTATCTCTTTTTATTGCTTTTTGGGAGTTTTGACGTCAACTCGACGAATACCACATTGACTGAGCATGAGCTTACGCAGACCTTTTATACACAATATTACAAATACAAATTACACAATAAACTATTAAAAAAACATTAAAATAAAAATTCAAGTGACGCTTCACTCGGGTTGCTGCCAAAACTCTCTGATCATATATAATAAGAATAGAGTAATGGTAGGCCATTGATATTTTTGCTAATGGAATCATTAATATCTAAAAATATTAAATAATTCATAGTTTTAAGTAATAATTATTATTACAATAAATATTGAATTAAACAAAAATAAACAAAGAAACCTGTGAATTATAAGCATTAGCTAATTTTTTTTAATTTGTTGTTCAAGTCACAAACAACTCTTTCGTTTGACAGCATATAGGTTTGCTATAAGGCTGTATGGGCTAAGAAGCCCTTTGCCTATTGGTGAATTTAAAAACTATGACATGGATAGTTTTGGGATGTTATCAATTAAATAATTTATTTTTTTGGAAAACAATGCCAGGTTGAAGGAAATGTTGATACATAAACTAAACAACGTGAAAAAATAAGGCATAGTTTTTCAAGTAGAAATAGGTTTAACATAAAGTTGGCCCACTTTTGGGCACTGTCCTTTGGCACTATGGGGGACTCATCATTATATTACATAAAATAAAGACTAATTAAATTTCTTTAATTCCAGATTAGAAAAATAGATTATTATTTTAAATCTCCAAGGAAATATATTGATTAAATCATTTTGATTATTAACTTTTACCAAAAGTGCCAAAATTATAATTAACAAATAATGGATGAATTGAATTTCTTGAATTATTAATTAAACAGAAAATTATTAATTTTTAGAATTAATTAATTTTATTGAGCAATATTGATAAGAATAAATTTTTTTTTTCACTTTTAAAATTTTGCCGCCCTGATAATTTGCCCCCACTGCCCTTAGTAAATCCACCATTGTATATATGTATAGAGAGAACAGAGAAGAACACTAGAAATGCCGAGTCGAACGCCGGTTGTACTCAATTTCTCATTGCATGCACTATGCGTTAAAATACAATGCCATGCAATAAATAACCCTCACCTTTAGCTTTCGTTTACCACAGTTACAAAATTAAATACAACATAACAGCTTACATTTTAGCTCGTTATAATTATTAAGAATAAACAAAACAATTACAAAATTTAATTAGGATTATTTGAATATAAATATACTAAAAATAGAGCGTGAAAAAAAATCTGGACAATTTAATTATGTACATACATTAAGTTGATAATTTTATATATTCAATAGCAAATAGAATAAATTTAAAACGAGAAGGGCTTCTAATTAATGTAAAATAATTTTTATGACGGTAACTGTTTAATAAAATTAAAGATTAACATACCTTCACAGTCAAAGATTTCTTAGGATCATGTTCGTAATTTTTTACATTTGAATCCCAACTCTTTCCAGTCATCGTTAGGGTATATTTTGTGTTCATTCTTGATACTTCGGAAGGTCCCTGACGTGACATATAACCGGCCGTGAAAACCTTAGGGTGCTTACACAACATCTTTCGAAACCATTCGAAACGACATAAATAGTAGTACATATACATTGGGGGTATTATTAAAAAATGATAAAATTTCGGTACAGTACAAAAACTACGAAATCTTATCGGTTTCTGTTCGTACTTGTCCGATACATATCTTTGGGACATTTCGATTAAATCTTCGTCTGGCCCTGGATACGGGAACCAGACTTCTCCGCTGTGACGATGAAAGAAAGATCTGGAACATAATAGAAAAAGACTATACTTTGTGATACTTATGTGTATGGGTATACCATGCAATACCAGATTGTTCACTAAAACTCTTAAATGGAAAATGTTAAACAATCTTACAAAATATCGTAGCAAAATCCAGAGGTCAAGGCTTACATTGTATAGCCTATTGTTCGAAGTCCTCAATAAATATCGTTTCATCTTACAATCGTAGTATTATGCAAATATGATGCGAGTCGGAATATTTCTATATAAACATACCTACCTTTTTAATTCTATAGGCTCGTACACAAGCGGTTCAGGAAATGTTTCTTTTTTCAGATTTAAATATTTTGGTAGATCTTGTAAAACGAAAACCAGAGATTCCCATGTACCCGAATGAACTAAACAATGTTGACCAATAGGCGCGTAACTTCTTCTTGGTATATCGAATCTGAAGTAGCAGTCGACGACGTCAGGAATATCTGTGGATATAACTTGAGGTTTTCGTGTAGTCTGATTACTAAAAAAAAAATTTTTTTGTTTCCTTTGGTATTATAGTGTTTCCATAAGACGTTCAATTTGAATAGTCGCATTTGTGACTCGAAAAATGCAAGATTTAATTTTGAAAAATCTCTCAAATTTTAATCTGGCCACTGCTTAGTTTTTCGAAAATAAGCCAACCATTACGGTAAAGGGATTGCACTTTCAAAGATGATTAACGATTATATACCCGAAAATAGAAGATATTGATGTGAACGACGTTCATTTTCAACAACAAGATGTGGTAGAACCGGTAAAACTACCCTGCCTGCTTCTGCCGTGAAGCAGTAATGCATTTCGATTTGAAGGGTAGGGAAGCCGTTGTACTGTAAAAACTGAAATCTTAGAACTCAAATCTCAAGGTAAGCCGCGGCATCTACGTTGTAGACTCCGGTAACCACTTCAACTAGGCTATCCGTGTGCTCGTCTACCCATCTAGTTACAACGACTGCCCCACCCTCCAAACCGAAACGCATTACTGCTTCACGGTAAAAATAAAAAGTTGATATAAAATAAATAAAAGGTGTGAAAAGTTTCTTAACTATGTGCCTTCTCGAAGAGGCGACAGAATCAGAATCACGCAAATTTGTAAATTTTCATGTTTTATCTTTATTACACCGTGTTATTTACACCGTGTTATTTACACCGTCGAAGTCGCTCGTTAACTAATTTTGAAATACTAGCTGACCCGGCAGACTTCGTAGTGCCTCAATCGATAAATAAAAGACATAAACTTTTGCGTAAAATAAACTTAAAACAAACAAAAGGAAGCCGTCCGACGGGGGACACATCAAAGGGAAAACAAAATATATTTTTTATTTAATTCCGAGCATTTTCATATTTATCTACCTTTTAAACCTTCTCTGGACTTCCACAAATAATTCATGACCAAAATTATCCAAATCGATCCAGCCGTTCTCGAATTTTAGCGAGACTAACGAACAGGAATTCATTTTTATATATATAGATTAGCTGACCCGGCAGACTTCGTAGTGCCTCAATCTATGAATCAAAAAGAATCCGTCCGACGGGGGACACATCAAAGGAAAAAAAAATTTATTTTTATTCAATTCCGACCATTTTCATATTTATCTACCTTTTAAACCTTCCCTGGACTTTCACGAATAATTCAAGACCAAAATTAGCCAAATCGGTCCAGCCGTTCTCGAGTTTTATCGAGACTAACGAACAGCAATTCATTTTTATATATATAGATAAAGATAATAACAATATACAAATGTGGACTTCGGTTCCACCAACTGCTTTTTCCCAGAATATGATTGTACAGGTGTCGTAAATTTATAGTCTAGAGTTTATACATCTTTTAGTGGGATATGATTAAAATAATTTGTTTTTGGAGTCAATTAATGCCTCGCTGTCGCTCATCTTTTACTTATCTTGAGACATGAGGCTGAGCCACGAGAAGGAAGTCTTTGTTACATTGTAAAATGACTGTCTTGATTTTAATGATATAAATTTCGGTACCTAAAAAACACAGATTCTCGAACCTGCGTTTTTTTTAGATTGAGAGGCTTTTTTCCTACCTATGCTGATGGCCTTGAGAGGCCATTTCAGCGCAACCTTAACAAGCAGGTATAATAATTCAATGAAATATACCTTTGAATTGATTTTGTAAGAACATGAGTCCTGCTGCAGAAGGTATAGAGGCCAGACCACAGGATGGTACAATTAGCACATTCCCCTCTTCAGCAGCATTGTGATTATTACGAAATGCGTTAAAGATTTGCTGTAAGTAATTGTTTACATGTATTTACACTTTTATTTACATGTTATCTAAAGCTTTGTTAAAGTAAGGTACTGTATTTGATATGTTTCTTTCCAAATTTACATATTAGATTATTTTTTTATTGCTAGATGGGTGGACGAGCTCACAGCCCACCCGGTGTTAAGTAGTTACTGGAGCCCATAGACATCTACGGCGTAAATGCGCCACCCACCTTGAGATATAAGTTCTAAGGTCTCAGTATAGTTACAACAGCTGCCCCACCCTTCAAACCGAAACGCATTTGCTTCACGGCAGAAATAGGCAGGGTGGTGGTACCTACCCGCGCGGGCTCACAAGAGGTCCTACCACCAGTAAAAATGTATTACCAGTTTATTTTGATGTCTGCATGTATGTACATGGTAAGAAATCTTTAACTGCTTTCCTGTATTATTTTTTTGAAGTGAAACTTCTTTAGAATCGTTGTGATTTCAAACTCGATGAAACGAAATGAAACGAAACGAAAAAATAAGTGTGCCGCGCTTGACTTGCCGACGCGGTTCCGAACGGCGCCGACAAATCACGAAGCGCTCCACACGGTCTCGCGTCCCCGACTACTGACTAGTTCAGTCAGTGATTCAGTGTATTTTTGACGTCCGTGCACGCTGGCACGTCCGTGGCTCTCGGAACGCCCTGAGATACTTTTATTTCTATTTAGTTTGTTATCAACAGATGTCGCTGCACGTAAATTCAACAATTCCTGAATCGCGGTAACGAGATGTTACACAATTGATAGACGTTCTCATATTTCTCTTGCTTAATCATACCTACCTGGCGTAGGGATACCGTGATCGTGCAGGCAGTTCCCAGGGTGAGGCTGCTCCATTGTACTGCGGAGTGGTTGACCCTCGCAAATCTTGAAATTATTCTTATTTTTTATAAATTTCACTTCGACACATTTTTATGTATTACAAGAAGTAATTCAACATACTGGTATTTCGGCTGATATATCAACGTAGTGAGTCCTTGTCTCGATGCAGCTCTTAATGACAGCTTCACCCAATATACTATGAGGACCAGTGCAATTTATCAAAATTTTCGTTCTACCTGTGGCGTTCCTTAATTCAGTTTGATTGTTGATGTCACATTTTATGACGACTATGCTGGACGTTCTGATTTCTGTAAATTAGATACTTATTCTTTAACCTTAACAAACGAGTTATAACTCCCTAAAATCAGTCAACAAAACAGCGTTAGGGAGTTGAACAACTGAGTCATCAGTACTTCAACTTCCTTTTGTACTCAAAAAACATCATGAAGTGAGCTTTATTTGGATAATTTGTACGGCGTTGGAACAGTTTACCGCTAGGGGCGCTGTTCCTACTCCATACAAAGGGGAATGCCCACTCTCCAGTGTGCTAGGCCCAAGGTGGACATCAAATATTACTATAAAAATGTACTGATTCAAATTCTTAAATGTATTAGATATCTAAAAAATATATTGAAATTGACGCCACTATTATAAAAAATATAATAAAAATAAAAACTCGTTTTGAGGTTAATTTTCTATATAAATAAGTGTCGGATTGTGACATACTTCAAGAACTTTTCTTTTCTTAATGTTTAAGATGTTCCTAATGTATTTTTATTCAATAGGGTATAAAAAACACACTTAATTCTTTAAATATCTATATTTTCTTCATTTTCATACAGAATTAGTATCATCTAAAAATAGCAAAGGAGAGCATATTATACACGGTTTTAAATCTCGGTCAGGGTAAAACCACAATTCACACAATGTTTTTTAGTCGTAGTATGAACGTTATTGATAAAAGTAAAATAAATCGAAGAAAAATCAAAACACATCCATTTTGTACGCAAGCACAACACCACAAGCAGCAAGCGAAGTGTCAGTCAGTCAGATTAAATTCAGTGTTGTCAGTATAAAGAAAAATAATTACATGAAATTCATATATCGATTATTTTTTTAAATAACCGATAATTGATTTATATCTTAATCTTTCTTTTACGAGTACACATTATTTTTTATGTTTTTGTTTTAGTTGTACATATTTAAATAACAATACTAGTAAACTTTTTTTATTGCTTAGATGGGTGGGTGGACGAGCTCACAGCCACCCTGGTGTTGCTAAGTGGTTACTCGAGCCCACATACATCTACAACGTAAATGCGCCACCCACCTTGAGATATAAGTTCTAAGGTCTCAAGTATAGTTACAAGTTAAAGTCCAATGGGTATGTCTTCGATGTTATTTTATGTGCATAAAATCCATTAAAATCGTTTGATTAATGATAATACTTAAAATGATTTATTTATATGTTTTATTTATATACTCAAAATATTTACTTCATACGTAAAAGGATTTGAAGCTGGCAATATTTTTCCCGCAAAAATAAAAATCCTTGTTTTTCAATAGAGTTACTTTTTTTAAACTACTTATTGTAAACTGTAGTGGCGCTTATTTGCAAGAAAGTAAATGCATATTTATTTATGACAAAATTAATGCACTAAGTATTTTTTCTATAATCTATTGTCCGCTTTGGGCCTAAAATGGGCATTCCCCTTTGAGTTAACTTTTACACGATCGAGTAATTAAAAAACTAGTACAAGCAAACGGACATTCAGATCGGATCGCCGGATCATCTCAGTCGGTCGTGATTCGATCTCAAGCTAAGCCCGTGAGCTGACCTACACGTTTGCCCGAAGCTGACATAAAAAACTAAAGCATACGTCCATAGAGAAAAAAAAACTTAACATCACGCTGTGTCACTAAGGACACGTTCGAATACGTGAACTGTTCAGTATTCCTATCCCCCCTGAACCTCTGGCTGTTTGTCCATAATTCGAGAAACATTCACATTATTTCAACCGCATCCTGTTACAAGCGCACCCAGTATACTCTAAACGTGGTTATTATTATTTCTACGGCGAGTCGTTGGTTCAAGATTTAAAAATACGCTTGATGTACCTAAGTAAATCAATGAAATGTACTTACTTAACTCAGAAAGCTCTTTAAGTAAAATGTTAAGTTTTTTTTCAGATCGTCCGGCAATACCCCACTTCACGTTATGATATTCTGGTTCCTTAGTTAATTCTGTTAAAAAATTTACCGTTGATTTTCCTGTGAATCCAGTAGCACCTAACACAAGTAAATCTAATTTTTCCATCTCTTAACTCAAAATATTGCTGTTTAACTAACTGCAGGAAATTTGCAAAATATAAAAACGTGTGTACTTTTAGTGTTACTCACGGTCAACTGGTGTTTTAACTGCATTTTTGCATATTTGCATTGCAGCGTTGCAAGGTCGCGATAGCCATTTGCATTTGCAACTTGCCCGACAAGCTCCACAGACTGCAGCGTAACTCGGACTAGCTCGCACATGGAGTTAATAAGTACCTACAACTGGAGTGCTGTCTAATGCCGAGAAATAGGTCTCGAAAGAGAAAACTTTTTGGTCGCGGTGTCCTCGTCTAGTGTGGTGACCATATAAAATTTATTAAATCTTAATGTTACAACCAATCTTTATTTTGGACTTATACTATCGTAGGATTAGATATGTAATATTTATATAATAGACTATCGTAGGATAGTATCCTGCTTTTGAATAAACGGTGTCATAAGGTTTAATATTAGGTCAAACGAGATCGAATCCATTTATAGATAATTTTTCAAATCTGCTGGTTCTAAATCACTCATAATGTTCATATTTGATAACATTCGGCACAGCAATAAATATTTCTTCACCGATATTCTTGGTTTTTTTTTTGAGAAATTGAAACAAAAAACAAAAAAATTGTTGTTGTCTAGTCTAGTCAATACTGGGGCCATCCTCTTACGCACACGACACGTCTTACTTCGTCGCGTTTAAACTGACAATTGATTCAGTAACTGAATTTAGAACAGTGTAATCAGTGTAGTCCCGGGCGCCATTAAGCAGGCCGAATGCAGGCAGCATTGGAGAAAGCTAGTGAAAAAACTGGACCAAGGTAGTCACGACCCTCAGCAATGAGGAAACGACAGAGAAGAAGAAGAAGAAGAAGAATCAGAAACTTCTAAATATGCTTCTGAGTTCAGTCTACTAAATTCAGCCAAATGTAATAAGCCTTTAAATAAAACCTATGGCTGTAGGCTGTACCTATATTATTTATGGTACATAATATTTAGGGTTAGACATAAATCAAATCGTTGTTTTATTGAGTAAAATAATATATATTTTAATGTTTTTTTTTATATGAATTTATACCAAAACCATAATTCGACAGTTTAACTGTTTAAAACCCATCAAATACCAATTATGAAACACAATTTTTGTTTTAATACACCCCTCGCAAACCCTACTTTGTGACGACTTCAAATTCCATTTTATGCTTCATTAAATTTTCGACAAGGTTCGTGTTCTGAAATGCAGCTGCGGGCATAAGTACTCCGCCTCTGGAAAAAAACATATGCAGAATATTCATTTTTAGTTAAGTATTGTTTCATTCACGGATAAATGTAATTAATACAAACTGCAAAAGAGCTTTCTACTTCTATTTGCTACAAAATTCTAGAATATTCTCTTATTTTAGGCAAATATTATCTCCTACAACACTAATAACTAGAACCAGATAGTATAAAAAGACAGACAAAACAAAAACGATTATTTTAGTTCTCTAATAATAATTAGCTAACTGTTTGAACTGAAAGTGCATTAAAATCGAAATAGGGACATAGTAACTTCAAATTATATAGAAGGCAAATAGTCTTTCGGTCATTAGACGAAAACAAGAGATTTTAAATACATCCTAACTCTTTGAACACTTTGAGACCTGCTTTACTTACTTCGGCATTTTATCACTCTCTCTTAAGATCGTCATGGCAGAAATAATCAAACACATAGCCGTAGTATAATAGCCGGGATCCGACCCTGAAACCTAAAGCACATTAGCAAATTAGACACAAAAATCATCTCAACGTAGACTTCTATAGAAATTTACATCATCGATAGTAATAAATGTATATTCATACTTTTTATGTAGCGCTTGATTAAAATCGAACATCCACTATATAGGATCGTTTGGAAATCAAAGTTTGGTCTGCGGGGTTACATTATTAATTATCTGTGGACCTTAAAAAGTAAAAGATAATTCAAATTTGTATGCAGTTGGAACAGCGCCCCTAGCGGGAAATGTAGACTAATGTTCCAACTCCATACAAATTTGAGTTAACTTTTACGCTATCGAGAATGTTAAAACGAACGCATGACCGCTTCACATCATAAATATGACGGTGGTACCGAACCGTGTGAACTTATAATACGCCGTACCGCGGGAATGGAACATCGGTATTGCACTTCGGTTGATACGATACTATGGTTGATACTACAGGGCATATATTTTTATATACTACTATATACAGGACCGGATTTAAACTTAATGCCGCTCCTGGGCATCGGAAAATAATCCGCCTTAGTACTGGAATTTTACTTATACTTAAAGTTTATATATTTTATTTTCCAAAATTAAAATAACTAATTTATTGCAGAAACTTTATAACATGTATATGTACATATTATTATATATACATACATATATTCCAAAAACATAAATAAATATTTATTTTGTTTTTCTAACAATTATAAATTTGGCACTAAGGGTGACTCGTAATTATATTACATAAAAAATACCTATTTAATTTATTTTTATTTCAGAAAATAGAAAAATCGATTATTATTTTAAATCTCCAAGAAAATATATTGATTAAATCATTTTGATTATTAATTTTTACCAAAAGTGCCAAAATTATAACTAACAAATAATGGATGAATTGAATTTCTTGAATTATTAATTAAACAGAAAATTATTAATTAATAGAATTAATTAATTTTATTGAGCAATATTGATAAGACTCAATTTTTTTTCACTCCAAAATTTTTGCCGCCCTGATAATTTGCCCCCACTGCCCTTAGTAAATCCACCATTGTATATATAGAGAGAACAGAGAAGAACACTAGAAATGCCGAGTCGAACGCCGGTTGTACTCAATTTCTCATTGCATGCGCTATGCGTTAAAATACAATGCCATGCAATAAATAACCCTCACCTTTAGCTTTCGTTTACCACAGGCCACAGTTACAAAATTAAATACAACATAACAGCTTACATTTTAGCTCGTTATAATTATTAAGAATAAACAAAACAATTACAAAATTTAATTAGGATTATTTGAATATAAATATACTAAAAATAGAGCGTGAAAAAAAATCTGGACAATTTAATTATGTACATACACTAAGTTGATAATTTTATATATTCAATAGCAAATAGAATAAATTTAAAACGAGAATGAGCTTCTAATTAATGTAAAATAATATTTATGACAATAACTGTTTAATAAAATTAAAGATTAAGTATCATACCTTCACAGTCAAAGATTTCTTAGGATCATGTTCGTAATTTTTTACATTTGAATCCCAACTCTTTCCAGTCATCGTTAGGGTATATTTTGTATTCATTCTTGATACTTCGGAAGGTCCCTGACGTGACATATAACCGGCCGTGAAAACCTTAGGGTGCTTACACAACATCTTTCGAAACCATTCGAAACGACTTAAATAGTAGTACATATACATTAGGGGTATTATTAAAAAATGATAAAATTTCGGTACAGTACAAAAACTACGAAATTTTATCGGTTTCTGTTCGTACTTGTCCGATACATATCTTTGGGACATTTCGATTAAATCTTCATCTGGTCCTGGATACGGGAACCAGACTTCTCCGCTGTGACGATGAAAGAAAGATCTGGAACATAATAGAAAAAGACTATACTTTGTGATACTTATGTGTATGGGTATACCATGCAATACCAGATTGTTCACTAAAACTCTTAAATGGAAAATGTTAAACAATCTTACAAAATATCGTAGCAAAATCCAGAGGTCAAGGCTTACATTGTATAGCCTATTGTTCGAAGTCCTCAATAAATATCGTTTCATCTTACAATCGTAGTATTATGCAAATATGATGCGAGTCGGAATATTTCTATATAAACATACCTACCTTTTTAATTCTATAGGCTCGTACACAAGCGGTTAAGGAAATGTTTCTTTTTTCAGATTTAAATATTTTGGTAGATCTTGTAAAACGCAAACCAGAGATTCCCATGTACCCGAATGAACTAAACAGTGTTGACCAATTGGCGCGTAACTTCTTCTTGGTATATCGAATCTGAAGTAGCAGTCGACGACGTCAGGAATATCTGTGGATATAACTTGACGTTTTCGTGTAGTCTGATTACTCAAAAAAAAAATTTTTTTTATTCCTTTGGTTTTATATTGTTTCCATAATTAAGACGTTCAATTTGAATAGTCGCAATTGTGGCTCGAAGATGCAAGATTTATTGAAAAATCTCTCAATTTTTAATCTGAACACTGGTTCTTAGTTTTTCGAAAATAAGCCAACCATTACGGTAAACGGATTGCACTTTCAAAGATGATTAACGATTATATAACCGAAAATAGAAGATAGAAATAGAAAATAGTGAACGACGTTCATTTTCAACAACAAGATGTGGTAGGAGCGGTAAAACTACCCTGCCTATTCCTGCAGTGAAGCAGTAATGCATTTCGGTTTGAAGGGTAGGGAAGACGTTATATTGTAAAAACTGAAACCTTAGAACTCGTATCTCAAGGTAAGGCGCGGCATCTACGTTGTAGACGTCTATACACTCCTATAACCACTTCAACTAGGTTATCCGTGAGCTCGTCTACCCATCTTGGCAAAAAATAAAATAGTTGGTGCTACGAGCCACATTAGTAAGGATAACATGGCTCTTTTTCGTGAAAAGTTTCTTAACTGTGTCCCTTCTCGAAGAGGCGACAGAAACAGCTAAGTTCAAGGTACCATGGGCGTACTCACTGCGTACATACATATCATTATGCCACACTGCCAGCAATCACGCAAATTTGTAAACTTTGCATGTTTTATTTTTATTACACCATGTTATTTACGTCGCGGAAGTCGCTCGTGAACTAATTATAAAATATAATCTATATATATAAAAATGAATTGCTGTTCGTTAGTCTCGCTAAAACTCGAGAATGGCTGGACCGATTTGGCTAATTTTGGTCTTGAATTATTTGTGGAAGTCCAGAGAAGGTTTAAAAGGTAGATAAAGGTAAATATGAAAATGCTCAGAATGAAATAAAAATAACAATTTTGTTTCCCTTTGATGTGTCCCCCCTCGGACGGATTCCTTTTGTTTGTTTTAAGTTTATTTTATACAAAAGTTTAGGTCTTTTATTTATCGATTGAGGCACTACGAAGTCTGCCGGGTCAGCTAGTAACAATATACAAATGTAAACTTCGGTTCCACCCACTGCTTTTTCCCACAATATGA